GCGGCCGCCCGAGCGCGTTTTGATACACGCTCCGATAGTCGTCGTCGTCGTCGTCGTCGCCTTCCTGGTCGTCGTCGTCGTCGTCGTCGTGGTCGTCGTGGTCGTGGTCGTGGTCGTCGTCGTCGTCGTCGTCGCCTTCCTGGTCGTCGTCGTCGTGGTCGTCGTGGTCGTGGTGGTGGTCGTCGTCGTCGTCGTCGTCGTTGTCGTCGTCGTCGTCGTCGTTGTCGTCGTCGTCGTCGTCGTCGTCGTCGTCGTCGTCGTCGGCGTGGTCGTCGTCGTGGTCGTCGTGGTCGTCGTGGTTGTCGTCTTCGTCGTCGTCGTCGTCGTTGTCGTCGTCGTCGTCGTCGTTGCTTCTCTTGCCGCGGCGGCGAAAGCGCTGCTCTCCGAGCAGGCGGGGCCCTCTGTGGGCCTGCACCGTGTGCGTCCCACGTGCCCTGCGATGCGCATAAACAGTCTGAGGTCAGGCGTGTCCTCCTACAGGCGGATTTTGGACGAAAAATCAAAAATAGTCAACATATGCTCAAACATAGTCAAAAATGCGGGAAAAATCGTCCCCCGACTATTTTGTACTATCTTGGCCTGTTCAGCCTGTAGAGGGACACGCCGGACTGCAGCAAAACGCTATAACTAAGGAAACGACGATGGCATAAACATAGAAACTCGGAGGTCCGCGCGGATTTCACGGATCCGCGCTGGACCCCCCTGGCGGCCTCTCCGGCGCCGCCCCTGGCGCGCTCCGCGCGCCAGGGAGGGGGGTCCAGCGCCGATCCGAGAAATCCGCGCGGGTCTTCGAGTTTTTATGTTTATGTCATTCTTCATCTCCTTCCTAATAACGTTACAGCCAGTGCGCTCGAGCTGGAGTGGCCCTTCATCCATGAAGCTTGTATGAGCCTCAAAGAAGTAGTGCCTGGCACTGAAGCGAGTGGACGAGCTATAAAGGAGCCGCCCTCCATGTGTTTGGCGGCTGGAAACTACGTTTCTGTAAAACTGGAAGAAGTGGCAGGGGCGAGAGTCAGGTGTTGATGCCGATTCGGCGTCCCGTGCTGGTAGCTGCTAGATATTGCAGCAGTGTGTGGTTTTGAGACGCAATGGCGCCTCACGCGACAGGGATGTGTTGAATTTTCATGCGTGTAACTGTCGGAGGAGGTCGACTTCATGGTGACATCCCATAGCCATTGCTTGCAAAGGCCTTGAGGCCAGTTCCGCCGACCTTGAACATGGATCAGCGAGGATGGAAGAGGTGGGTGGTGGTGGTGGTGGTGGTAGTGAGTGGTTGTTGTGGTGGTTGTGGTGGTGGTGGTGGTGGGGGGCGGGGAAGGGGACCTGCGGGAACGGGTGTTCCTTCGACTCGACTACGGTCGACCTCTTCGGGGCGGCAGCACGCTTGCTGGATCCCTGTTGCTGTGAAGCGTGCCGGAGAGCACGTCGTGGACCGGGGCCTTTGCGTGTCTTCTGGGGGTCTTCTAGGGGTGATTTCGGGGCTCTTGGGAGGCTTCTAAACGACTGCAGCACGTGACCTTGGGCTCTTGGAGGCCGCCTGGGGGCCTCTTGGAGGCCTCTGGGCAGTCTTGGGTCCATCTTGGTAAGGACGCTCGCAGCGGTCTGGTAGTCGCGCGATCTTGTGGGCCTTCGTGGTTGGTTTTGAAGCCTCTGGGGCGGCTCCTGCGGTTCTCCAGGGCCATTTAGGGGCGGTATTGTCAGCCTCTCGGGCAGTCTGGGACGCTCGTAAGATGGAACTGGTGAACATGCTGGACTCGTGCGAATACTCCGTCTTTAACTATGATTTGAGCCTCTTGGCCAGCCCCGAGGGGGCCTCCAGGAGGCGGCCCTCATGTACCCTTACGACGGCTCCAGCATGGGTCCCTGAGATCATCCCATGGCGCGCTGGAGGTTTGGATTCCGAGCAACGCTACACGTCAGTCGTTGGAAGTAGGTATCTTTAGGTTCCCAGATCCCAATCTAATTCACGCGCCTTCCTACTTCAAGAGTCAGCAGGTGTTTTGCCGTATTTTGCTGTTCTTTGAGCGGGTCCGAACCTAGTCTACCTTTATCCGCATTCCTACTTCATGCTTCTACCTACTTCTTCCAACTGGCAGGTGCACGTGAGCAACGCAGACAGACGTGGTCGTCTTCGCCGTATGATCGTGTGCAAGCGCCCTTGTCTCACATGTGGCGTGCCACGCTTGCGGCCCGCGTAAGCCGCGGCGTAAGGTCGATATGCCATCTCGCGTAAGACCCCTTTCTGATCTCGGCGGCGAGCGATGGGGGGAGGGTAATCAGAAGGGCCGGTCCTTCTCAGGAGGCTTGGAAATCTCCCAGCCTTCTGAGACGTTTTCTGAGCCCTCCCCGAAGACACAGCAAACTTCTCCAGAGGCGGAGAGAGAAGCCCCACAGCCTTCTGAGAAGGCCTTCTCTTTCTTACCTCTCCCCTTGCTCGCCGCCGTATTTAGTTTTTCGGTCATACCTCGGATCTCTGGCAGGCGTTCGGGACGATCCGGAC